GAGAATATGCTCTCCTCTCCTTATTTGCCATCACTGAACTTAAGTTTTTAAAATTAGTGTTTAAAAATGTATGTTTGAAATTCAGTGCAATAGCGAGTACCTGGAAGAAGATGGGGAGTACATAAATAGTATTTCCAGGTATATTACACAAGGTACTCTATAACTTTTTTCAAGGAGCCCTTGTGTCAAAATGGTTAAGTACTTGGCTGCTAACCGAAAGATCAGCAGTTCAAATCCACCAGCCACTGGAGGGAGAAAAGACCCAGTGATCTGCTCCTGTATATAGTTACAGTCTTGGAAACCCTATGGGTAAGTTCTACTCTGTTCCATACGGTCGCTATGAGTCGGAATTGACTTGACAGCACCCAACAACATAGCTCTTTTCGTAAAGAGTGAAAAAGTGGCTTATGTTGGTGTAGGTATGTGGAAATGGAATTTTGGAGTGTTATAGCTACATTAGGAGATAGACCTCAAACAAGGGCCTGCATTTATCCATCAGGCTTCCATGAAATCTGGAAAACAAAGAGAATCAGTCTTTTTACAAAACAGAATATTTTTATCCATTTTTATTTTATTAGAATCCCATGGTATCCTTATTCTGTGGGGGAATTTGATTACAATGTTAAAAATAAAGTTATGTATTCCCCCCTTAAAAATTAAGTTAACCAAAAACTATAAAAATCATAGAAGAAAAACTAGGGTCAACATTAGAGGCCCTAATACATGGCATAAATAGGATACAGACCACAACTAACAATACACAAACACCAGAAGATAAGCTAGATGACTTGGCTCTTCCAAAAATTAAACACTTATGCTCATCAAAAGACTTCACCAAGAGAGTAAAGAGAGAACCTACAGACTGGGAAAAAAATTTGGGGTATGACATATCCGACAAAGGTCTAATCTCTAAAATCCATAAGAAAATACAACACTTCTACAACAAAAAGACAAACAATCCAATTAAAAAATGTGCAAAGGATATGAACAGAGACTTCACCAAAGAAGACATTTAGGTGGCTAACAGATGCATGAGGAAATGCTCCGGATCACTAGCCATTAAAGAAATGCAAATCAAAACCACAATGAGATACCATCTAACCCCGGCATTACTGGCACGAATCAAAAAAACATAAAATAACAAATGTTGGAGAGGCTGCAGGGAGATTGGAACTCTTATGCCTTGCTGGTGGGAATGCAAAATGGTATAACCATTTTGGAAAACAATATGGCACTTCCTTAAAAAGCTAGAAATAGAAATACCATATGATCCAACAATCCCACTCCTAGGAATACATCCTAGAGAAATGAGTCGTCACATAAACAAACATATGCACACCCACGTTCATTGCAGCATTATTCACAATAGCAAAAAGATGGAAACAACCTAAGTACCCATCAACAGATGAATGGATAAACAAACTGTGGTACATACACACAATGGAATACTAATCAACAATAAATAACTGATGAATCTGTGAAACATCTCACAACGCGGATGAATCTGTAAGGCATTATGTTGAGTGAAATAAGTCAATCAAAAAAGGACAAATACTGTATGAGACCACTATTATAAAAACTCATGAAAAGGTTTACACACAGAAAGAAACAATCTTTGATGGTTATGAGGGAGGGGAGGGGGGAGAGGGAAAAGTACTAACTAGACAACAGATAAGCGGTAGATTTGGTGAAGGGTAAGATAGTACAAAATACAGGGGAAACCAGCACAAGTTGACCAAGGCAAAGTCATAGAAGCTTCATAGACAAATCCAAACTCCCATAGGGATTGAGTTACTGGGCTGAGGGCTAGGGAACATGGGCTCGGTGGACATCTAGCTCAATTGGCATAACATACTTTATAAGGAAAATATTCTACATCCTGCTTTGGTGAGTAGCATCTGAGGTCTTAAAAGCTTGTGAGAGGCCATCTAAGATACGTCTACTGGTCCCACCCCATCTGGAGCAAGGGAGAATGAAGAAAACCAAAGACACAAGATTAGTCCAAAGGACTAATGGACCACAGCTACCACAGCCTCCACCAGACTGAGTCCAGCACAACTAGATGATGTCCGACTACCACCACTGACTGCTCCGACAGGAATCACAACAGAGGTTCCTGGACAGAGCTGGAGAAAAATGTAGGACAAAATTCTAACTCACAAAAAAGACTAGATTTCCACTGATCTGATGGCGATTGGAGAAACCCCAAGAATATAGCCCCCGAGCACCCTTTTAACTCAGCACGGAAGTCACTCCTGAGGTTCACCCTACAGTCAAAGATTAGACAGGCCCATCAAACAAACAATAATATACATAGCTCAATCATGTATATGAGACTAAATGGACACACCACTTCAGGGGCAAGGATGAGAAGGCAGGAGGGGACAGGGAAGCTGAACAAATGGAAATGGGGAACCCAAGGTCGAGAAGGGGAGTGTTGACAACAAATGTCACAAAACAATGTGTATATTAATTGTTTAATGAGAAACTAATTTGCTCTGTAAACCTTCACCTAAAGCACAATAAAAAAGTAAAATAAAATTAAATTAAAATAAAACAAACAAAAAAACTAATGGGTGCTTCTTTAAGTGTGGTCTATGCATCACTGGATAACCTGTGGTGCTTTTTAACGCTTTCTCCACTGCAGCTAACTTCATCTTGGGGAGAAAAGCAGCAAATGTGGCAGAAATCTACATTATTAACAAAATTTCAGGCTATAGATATATAGATATATATACATATACATTCATATATATATGTATATACATATACATTCATATATACATATATAAAACCAGAAGTTCTGGTGGTGCAGTGGTTAAGAGCTGTGACTGCTAACCAAAAGGTCAGCAGTTTGAATCCACCAGCCGCTCCCTCTTTGGAAACTCTATGGGGCAATTCTACCCTATCCTATAGGGTTGCTATGCATCGGAATCAACTCAATGGCATTTTTTTTTTTTTTAAATAAAACCAAAACCAAACCAGTTGCCATGGAGTTGATTCTGACTCACAGAGACCCCATGTGTGTCAGCGTACAACTGTGCTTCATAAGGTTTTCAATGGCTGATTTTCCTAAGTAGATTGCCAGGGCTTTCTTCCTTGGTACCTCTGGGTGGACTGATCCTCCAACCTTTCCATTAGCAGCTGAGTGTTTTAACCATTTATACCACCCAGATACGTACACACATGTATGTATATATATAGAGAGAGAGATGGAGAGACAGAGAGAGAGAGAGCTTAACAGCCCCTATTCTAATGCATGACCCAGCACAGCCTTCCCCAAATCTGGCAGATTATCTGTATTCAAAGAAATTAGATGAAGGATGTGGCAGAACCAAATACCCTAGCACCAATAAAACGACTTTCAAGTACAAAATAGTCAGACAGCTGAAGAACATTTTAACTGAATCACTCAAAGAATATCATTAATCTAGGCTAGTTCTAGTAACTGGATATATTGAACTCAAAATTTTGACAATTTCCAGGAGGGTGAAACAGCCATCTTCTAAATACTAGTGGATAATCTTTGGTGCATCACCCTAGGAATTAAACTCTCACAAGAAAATAAAACAAAATAAACAGATATGTCTAGAATCTTTACGTTCAGAGTATTAGTACCAGTAATGGTAGATATGTTTGCATACTAATGGTCTAAAATAAAAGCAGCAACCGCTTTTGTTTTCCTCATCATCATCTGAAAGATGAATGTATTATAAACTTCATATTTATCTTCTTTGGTTGTGCAACTCTCACAAATGCCCACGTCTCACTTCATAGTCATCGCTGGTCTTTAAGGAATTAATGTGTATCCCCTTAACAGGTACAGAACAACAATTTTCTGCTATAAATAGACATTTCTTATTTTCTGGGGTTCAAAGCCAGGGACTGCTTCCACTGTCAAGTAATTTTGAGGACCTTCACTATCCAGCAAGTGGCTTGTGGGAATTCCCGGTTTTCTTCTTTCTCACCTACAGGGTAAGAATGTCAGACTTGGTGTCACCTAAGGTCTACCCTGCTCTAAGGTTCTATGCCTGAAAATCCTTGAAAGAGATAGGATTCTCCATAGACCAAAGTTTTCCACTTTCTGTAATTCTGGCAGATTTCTAATTCGTTTACTTATGTGGAGACTCTAGTATGTGTATGAGTGCCTTGAGAACTAAGCTAAGAGTAATATATTGATCTTTAGCTCTTTGCTTTATCTGTCATATTATTCAGGGCCTTTTCCACATATATGACCTCATTTTCCACATTTTGTCACTTTTTTTGGAGCACGGGTACTTCAGCAGGGTTTAAAGCTTTTGAATGGCATCATGGACATTTTTGCATTATTGTTAAATCTTTTTCCCAAGGGATGCAAATTTATTTTAATATTAATCTAAATAAAATCATTAGGACACAAGTCAAGATTGTTTGGGGAAGGGGGTTGGCTATAGCAGAGGGGGCTGAAAAATGCTGTCTTCGTTATCTGGTGCTGCTACAACAGAAATACCACAGTGTCTTAGTTATCCAGTGCTGTTATAACAGAAATACCACAAGCGGGTGGCTTTAACAAACAGAAATTAATTTTCTCACAGTTTAGCAGGCTAGAAGTCCAAATTCAGGGTATTCTTCTTAATTTTTTTTATAACATTGCATTAAATATTATTTATCTTGATTACTGGGTATTTTGGAACCCCTAAAATTCTGCCCCTGAAGAGAGTGCCTCTTTCACTTGACCCTGGCCCTAAGTGGAGTGCTCGTGGCCCAAAAGTAAGCACTCAGCTGCTAACCACAAGGTTCGCGGTTCAAACCCACCCAGCTACTCAGGGGCAGAAAGACTTGGTGATCTGCTTCTGTAAAGATTACAGCCAAGAAACCCTATGGGACAGTTCTAGTCTGTCATATGGGGTCACTGAGAGTCGGAAACGACTTGACGGCATCTAACAGCAACAACAGAAGGACAACAACAAAGTAGCCTTAGAATATGGTCAAGCAACGCACCAATTAATTAAGCTAAGTGGATATTACATTTCTAAGTATAATGGACACACAGGAAGTGGAATGCCCACAGATAGATGTGTGGGTGGGTGAGGGCATGAAAGACACAGCAAAATATTTCAGACTCGGCACTTCCTTTTGCTGATGTTGTCTCACAGAACTTGGAGTTTGGTTTTATACACAAGCTTAGTGCCAAATTCTTTAATCTGCAATGGACAGGCAAGTGACATATGCTGATTTAAACTTACTCAGGCAGTCAGCCCTTGGAAGTTCATCACCCCCGGCTCTTCCTCAGGGTAAGTGGAATAATTTCCTTTTGCCATTTGTATATCTCCCAGAATTAGTTTTTCCTCTTAAATTTGCGGTTTTAAATTGTTGAAGTTGGACAGCACTTCTATTTTATTGCTAAGTAGAGTTAACGTAGTTTGAGTTTACATAACAACTATTGTGGAGAAAAACATACCTCATTAGATTTTGTTTTTTTATCTAGAGAATATGAAAAGTAAACACGCCTTCTATTGCTGTTGTTGTTATTGTTAGTTGCCTTCCAGTCAATTCCAATTCATGGCGACCCCATGTGTGAGGAGTAGAACTGTTCCATAGGGTTTTCAAGGCTGTGACCTTACAGAAGCAGATCACCACACCTGTCTTCCAAGGTACCTCTGGGTGGGTTTGAACCATCATTCCTTTGGCTAATAGTCTACTGCTTAACAAAGTCTTGGTCAAAAACCCTAAAGAAACAACGTTTTACATATATGAACAAAGGAATATTTAAGGGACTTATTACTACCTTGCTGTAATAGCAACCTACCTTATTCCAAATCCCTCTACTAAATATTAATTTTGTGATTATATTCTGGTGCATTTACATCCCTAGGATTCCTTTCAGAACGCCAAGTTTATGCATATGATTAACTTCCTCCGTTTTCCAAAGGGATAGAGAAATAACTCCTGAGATAAAATTATAGACAATATCAAACATGTGACTATAATTACAACCTGGTAGGTTCTAATATAAAAGTATCACAGCTTAGAAGGAGATAAACCACAAAACACTGAAGTATATCAATAATGAACTTATCTGACACTGTTGAAATCAGCACTTTTCTGTGTCAGACGAATTAGTATTCTGAGTGAAAGAAATGGAGAAATCTAATGTGAGGTAGTAGATATGGGTGTTATGGTCTGGGGATGGATGCACAAAAAAATGCATAAAATTATCATGACATAGGATTACCTTCTAAAATCTAATTGACTTTACTGACATCAATACTATTGCAATTGTTACCTGATCTGATATTCATTCCATATTGTGCTGAGTATGTGGATTATACGTTTTTAGAACTGTTTGATGTAAGTTTGAAACTATTAAATTAGCAAAGTTCTAAATCAGGAAGAAAGTCTTAGAATCATCAAATAAGTTTCTCTATAATTTTTGTATCAGGGATGGGGAAATTGGAAAATTTTGATAACAGCAGTGAGGGCTTGGTCAAATCTGTTATTTTCTGATGGGAAAGAGCAAGACTTCTTCCTGGCTCCTATCTAATAAATGGGAGAGGGTTGTTGAAAGGGGATGTCAGAAAGCGAATATAAAGAAAGATGTTATGCTACTATGTCTCCGATTCAATTGGTCCAAAAAATTAGTAATTGTCATTACAAAATATCATCCTAAAAGTAAATCTGAAAAAAAAAAAAAAAAGGAGAATAATGTCAGAGCAAAATGTGTGAAGACAGAACACTGGCCCGGCATTAGTGTTATTGCAAAACTCCACTGGACTCTTTGACCAAACTGTTGAGGCTCTGATAACTGGGTAAAATAGTGATTGTATCTAAGGAAGTCAGCAAAAAACCAGAAAGAGAATGTGAACAGTGACCCAGTTTATGGCCAAAAGTTCAAGAGTGTACCTTTTAAAAAAGTGAATAAAGGGTCTACAAAATCCCTTTAAAGTTTATTCATTCATTCAACAATAAGTGCCAACTATATGCCAGACATACTCTAGGTGCTGAGGATATAGCAGTGAACAAAATAGAGAAAAATATTTACCTCCATGAAGTGTATCTTATATTACTGTGGATATAATCAATAAAATAACTGATAATATAAAAACTAGATGGTGTTGATTGCTATTGAGAAAAATTAAAATCCGGAAAAATCAAAATTCGGGAAAATTCCATATAAAATAGGAAAGTCATAGAAAGTCTCTCTGAGAAGACAACGTTTGAGTCAAGACTCAAAAGAAGTGAGAGACAGAGGCCTGCTGTCTCGAAGAGGAGCCTTCTAGAAGTTGGATCAGCAAGTGCAGCAGCTCTGAGATGGGAACATGCCTGTCATTTTTTTAGGAAAAGCAGGCAGGAGTTATCTAAGAAGAGTTGGAGCAGAATAACTGAGGTATTGATTGTTAGCAGGATGATTTTCTGCCAGAGGTCATTTAATTTTGGAAGGTGTAGGATGGCAGAGTGTATGCTTGGAGACCAGAAGGAGATGAAGTCAGAGAAGTAATGGGGAGCCAGGTTAAATAGGGATTTGTAGGGCATTTTATAGATTTGGGTCTGTTTGATGGAAAGCCATTGAAGGTTTAGGGCAGGGAAATGATATGATTTAACATACTGTTTAAACCCAAACAAAGAATAGCCCTAGTGAGTATTGCCAGATAAGTAAAGTTTACCTGGCCTCTTCGATTATCTATTGTAACTCCATTCATTCTAATCTCATGCTGCGCTGTGTAGCAGAAACAGTGCAGGAGAGCATTCCTCCCAGGCACAAGACCTTCCACTCAATTCCTTAAGTATTATCAGGAGTAAATAAAGTCATCCCAAATTGTCTTTTACCTATTTAGAAAAACAATAATATAGTTTTTATCTTTCTCTGTATTTTTAGAAAAACAATCTCTATCTTTCAGAAAAACAATAATAACCAAGATTTATCAAATAGTTACTTTGCACCAGACACTAAGCACAGCATTTCAGAAGCACTGTTTCATATAATCCTCTCCAAAACCTTATGAAGTAGACCCTATTCTACATTTTATGGATGAGGAAGTTTGTGGTTTACGGAAGTTGAATACATTGCCTGAAGTCACAAAGCTGTAACTAGCAGCCATAGACTCAGATCTACTGAATTTGAGAGCCTCTGCTCTTAACTATTGCCATACTTCAGTAATAAATATTAAAATAGTGACTATATGGCATTTGCTCCATTTTGCAAATAAAGTTGGAGCTTCAAGAGAGGAAAGGATGAAGAAGAGAAGAGACCAAAGGGTAAAAGAACATGTATATACATCTCAGGCTGGGTTCTCTAGAGGAGCAAAATCAGTGAAGCGTACATACATAAATTTATATAGAGAGATTTATTTCAAGGAAATGGCTCACGCAGTTGTGGAGGCTGGAGAGTCCCAAATCTGTGAGTTAGGCGTCAGGCTGGAGGCTTCTCCAGACTCACGTGGTTGTGGAAGCTGGTGAATCCCAAAATCTGCAGGTCAGATGGCAGGCTGCTGGCTCATGTTCCAAGAACCAGAGGTCAGAGGATGACGAGTCAGATGCAGGAGCAAAAGAGAGTGAGCTTTGCCAGAACATCCATTTATATCGGATGCAGGCCACACACCCAAGGAAAATCCCCTTTCAACGGATTGGCTACTCACATCAAATCACAAAATGGAGGATAAATACATAAAACCTGCCAAACCACTGAGAATCATGGCCTAGCCAAGTTGACACGTAACCTTAACCACAATAATACATAACTGGAAGGAAAGACATCTTAGTGGTGGTTGCTCATTGAATAGGTTTTTCCAGTCTTGCATCAATCTGGCACTCCTTAGAAGTTCTAGGCCAATATTACCAAGCTTGATTTCCTCATATTCAGATGTATGTCCAGGGTCATGGAATCTCCTTTGGGTATCTACTCCTACCTCCCCACCTCCACTGGCACAACATGTCTTAAACAACACCAGGTGATAATCCAAAATGCTAATTTTCTACAATAGGGCATGCGCCTTATTTTTGTATAGCACTTGGCAATTTTCAAAGTATTTTCACATCTATCTTTTGTTATTTTGATAAATACATGTAACAAAACATCTGTTATTTCAACATTCTTCACATGCACAATTCAGTGACATTAATTATGTTCATCGTGTAGTTCAACCATCACCATTATCCATTTCTAAGTTTTTCCTCACTCTTAACAGCATCTAGCCTATATGACTCTCAGATCCAGCCTTTGTACACAAAACAAGCATAAGTATTCCTATTTTATCAATGAGCATACTTTCAGACGGATCTCATTGAATCCATTTTGTGGATCTCTAAGATGACTGACAAATGTTCTTTCCTGCCCCAGCTCCCGACCAGAGCCTAGCTGTCCATATGTCATCCAAACCACCTTTAATTTTTGTGCCACATGTACTCAACTGAGTTAATTGAGAATATTATCTTAATTTCTCAGATGCCTGTCAGAGTCCACGTTGGAATCAATTTGCTCTGAAACTTGGCTGTGCTGGGATTATTCTCTTTGCCTTGGCTGTGATAGGGCTGAGTGCTTCAGGTAAGTAATGTGAGATCATTCATCTCAGAATATTTACTCTACTTCCTTCATAAATATGGGAGCATCTTAACATAATTTGGCCACCTCAAACTTAGCAAAGGACCAATGAAATAAAAACAGGAACAAAGCAATGCTTCTATGGCTCAGCCCATATCCACTATGGAAACTTCAGCCTTCCACATTTCCCTTCCCAATTGTTCCGAGAGTCACCCTGTGGTATTTTCCGTGTGCTCCAAAAACTTAAAAACAAAAAATTCACGATGGTGATGAAAAAATGATGATAACAATGAAAATAACAATTATCAAGGCTTTGCAGTTTACTAAGTACCTGCTAAATTCCAGCCCTTATGGCGTAGTTAAGAGCTTGGCTGCTAACAAAAAGATCAGCAGTTCAAATTCACGAGCCACTCTTTGGAAACTCTATGGGGTGGTTCTACTCTGTCCTATAAGGTTGCTATGAGTCTGAATCGACTCGATGGCAACAGGTTTTGGGTTTTAAATTCCAGATTGCACTAGGCAGTGTCTCTCTTGTGATAAGCATGATTGTACTCTTTCTGAAGATGAGAAAGTTATGATAAGAGTATAATCATTTTGAGAGTTTAATACCTTAAATTTACTTATCTAGTAGGTAACAGGTAACAGAAGATCTGTATGAGAGTTCACTATTATACATTTTTTCTCGTTTATTTATGTAGGCTGTCTCCTAACTAGACCCATTGTTACCACATTGCTATTGCCTTTACCTTCTATCCATATTCAAGCTGACTGAGATAACTCAGTTTCCTGCTGAAATTGTAAGTGGAACCACAACTTTATTACTGATGCTTGGTCTAGCTTCTAGCTTCAGGAGGATACGTAGAGACAATGTAACTTTTCCATTCAGCCATACATTTCCGCATTTAATCTTCTTAATTGTTTTTCTTTATTTACTAGTGATATTTTTAAGTCAAAAATCATCAATAGAAAAATGTCATGTGGATGCTCATAAAGAGTACAGGAGTACTCAAGAGTACAGGAATGAAACAACAGGTAATTTTGTGGCTTAAATTTCCTAAGAATAACAGCTGGTTTTTAACTAATTTCATGCATTACCTTATTTAAGGCTGACAACAATCCCATATGTTAAGATACAATCATTATCATTCTGGTTTTACATTTCAGAAAACTAAGGCTTCGAAAGGTTAAATAACTTGCTCAAGGTGACATACTAATAAGTGGTGACACCAGAAATTGTACTTAGGTAGTCTGGCTCCGGAGCCTATGGCCTTACGCACCAGAGTATACTGCTTCATGAGAAGCTGCTGCTAGGCTATTCAATAATTAATAGCCAAATATCAAGTTAAAAAGTAAAATATGCATTTAAATTGATATTTGATGATATTAATGAACATATTAAACTGTTAACTTTGGTCTGAAATGAATAAATAGAACCAAAAACATAGAATGAATTTTTTAATATGTTTCATATTTCTTTGACATATAACAACATCATTCTTGGTTCAATGTGTAGTGTGTGTTAATAAAGGCAACTACGTTGTGTGATGGCAGCAAAATATGATCTGTGTGTATTTTAAGACAACTGCAAAATTTTTCTGGAAAATGGAATCCAGTAGATCACATTAAGTAGGCAATAATATTATTCAGCAATTAAATTTTTTCTCATGATTTCCCCATGGTATTTCTCATTAATTTAGTGAAATGAATTATTATATGCTTCACACTTTGCATATTGTTTAAAATTACTATTTGTTAGGTGAGTGTGATACTGTTGTCCATATACTGGAATAAGCACTGTTGACAAACTCAAGGAAACACAGATATAATCTTGACTCTACCACCATCTGATTGTGTTAGTCTGTCTCTCAGTGGCTGAAAATGTAAAATGTGGCTGTTTACATTATTTTGATTGTTTTTCTTCTTTAATATTCTACGATTCAATTTATGCTTGATATAACTGGTCATTGCTTTCCAATTCTTGGTACGAGAATGAACAGTAGGTCTTAAAAACCTCAAAATTATAATGAATTCATTATAGTTGTTTTCATAGTGACAATCGGTGACTTTCAAGCATGTATAATGATGTGTGTGTGTGTGCATGTGTGTGACATCGGTTGTAGTGGAGTGGAGACAGGTTGAAACTATGATGTTTCTTTCACTCTTTCTTTCCTTTATTACTTTAGAGAGATCAGGTCCATTAAAGTGCCCAATACATTGGCATCAACTCCAAGAGAAATGCTTGTTTCTTTCTCACAATTCCAGCTCCTGGAAGGACAGCTCAGCAGATTGTTACACAAAACAGTCCAGTTTGCTACTTATTCAAGATGAGAAAGAATTGGTAAATAATTACTAAAAGACCTTAATAAAATTTAACACTTTCTTTAAACCATGTCAAGGTGCTTGGGCTTTAGCCCAAAGGTTTTATGCAGATGGAAGTAGACACCTTGACTTCAAGACTGAACAGACATGTAAGAAAATAATTGAATATAACATGATGAATGTAATAATAGAAATATATAATTATAGAGAAATATTACAAAAAAAGAATGATTAACTCTGATGTGGAGTCAGGAAAGACTTTATAGAGGGAGTAATGTTTGAATTGGGTCTTAGGGGATGATTAGAACAAGGCAGTTACTGAATAGATAAACCAGTTCAGTATTCAGTCATTCTTTCTGTTCCGTTTATAGAGACTCATAAAAAGCTTGATAAAGACTAAAGGACTTCTGTACTGGATTGGATTAAATTTTACAACACCAGAGAAGAACTGGAAGTGGATAAATGGCTCTTTTTTAAACTCTAACATGTGAGTATCAGATGAGCTATTTTTAATGTTTGATTCACATCAGATTCATACTGCAAGGCAGTAAAATTGTTATTGATGATTGAATTTTATAGTTTCTCTTTAGTTTAGAAATTTTCAATAGATTCAGAAGAAGCAGAGAAGATGGCTGATTATAAAGTTGGTTGAAAATTCCATTTATGAAAAGACATCAGCAGTTCATAAGAATATATTTTCTTGCCTGAAATGGAATTTTAGAAGACAAGAAATAGACTAGCTTCCTTGGAGGGGTATCTCAATAAAAATTCTCTAGCTAGAGTCTGTTGGCACACAGAATTTCCCAAGGATTTTTTTAAAACTGTTGGCCAAAATACCTTAGTGAGTCATGAAACCAATTTGATGTGTCACAACTAACATTAAAATAATGAATATAAAAGGAAAAAACACAGTAAGTCTCATAGTATGTAGCCAGCACATTTAGGAAGAAAAGTGTGTGTTATGACAAATACTGCAGTGGATTTTAACCAATGATGTGAAACAGACAGTTTTAATCGGCTAGCAAAGGGCAGGGTGACTTTTATTGCCCTGCAAGCAAAGTGTGCAAACATTCAACCAAGTTTCTGTAAAGAACTTTCAATGTGTTTTTGGAAGAGATGATACCCAGTGTGACATTTTATGAGTCTATGAAGGATTGCAACATTTAATCAAACTTCTATATAGTGCACTTAAAGTGATATTTTTAATAATTAGAAAAACAAGAAGTTGAAGTTTAAAACATAGAAGCATGTTCAAGTTCATCTAAAATATGGTGATAATTTATTGATTTTTGAAAAATAGTAAGCATTGAATAAAATACTGGCTCAATTAACAAATTTTGACCTTGTTTGAGCTACATTCTAAAATATTTTTTAAAGTGTAATACTATTTAAAGTATGTGTTGTGGACTAGAATGAATTTATGAAAAGGCAAGCACATCAATTCATCAATTCCATCAAATAAAATTGTTCTTCATTTCTTTTCTTATAATGCTTTCTGGGGATTATTTTCTACATATGCTATTTTAATTACATGTAAATTAGACTGTTTTATATGCACTTAGTTTTTTTTAAATATGTAGTAAGGGTTAATATTGGTTTATGAAATTTATTATGTGTGTTTGTGTGTCATTATTGGGCTGTGATATAAATGTGGTTTTTTGGTTATGGTTCATAGTGAAAAAAGAAATTGAAAACCATTGATTTAAATATCTGTGGGCAGAAATATATGTAAAGTGAATATATTAAATTCAACGGAACATCCCATTTTATTCTGAGAATAAAAGTGATGCTTTGTTTAAAACCGTACCTGTTGCTCTCTAAGTCGACTGTAAACCTGGAAGGTATTTTGTTAGAGTAGGAAGAGCATCAGTTAGACTCTGCTTTTATTTTAACTCTCTGAGCCCTGGTTTTTAGGTAAGTGAAAAAAAAAAAAATAGATAACAGTTCTTTCCTAAATTGTTCTGGAGATTAAAGGAGATAATGTCACAGAACTAGGCAGATACCTATCTGGTCATGCAAGGCCTGGGAAGCCATTGATTAATTTTTGAAAAGAAGTTGAGTCATTTGGCCAGATTGGAATTTAAAAAATTACCCTGAAAGTTGAAGGAAGAATTGAAGTGGTGGAAGAGATACAAGTTAGGGGACTTTTGCAGTGGTCCACTTGAGAGAATTTTGTGGTTGAACTAGAAAGGTGGCACTAGAAAAATACCAAACTAGCTGCTCGGGCCCAAGGGGCTGCATGAAGAAACGGAACCAAGGAGCAAAGAAGTCATGAAGAAGCCCTGCCCAATGACACCCCTTCACCCTCTTTTTGAGACAAATAGGTGAGTCCTGAACTCACCCCATGCTTGCAACTCAGCGCTAATACTGCCCATCCCATTGTTAGAATTCCATCGCCATCCCCACCTGCAGTCAACAAGATTCATGCTTATTTGGAACTAATAATATATTGAAGCTGATACCTGTCAACCTGTGTTCAAAATGGGGAAAAAAGGAAATTGACTACATACCACATGAACCTAGTCTCTTTTCCTGCCAAAAAAAAAAAAAAAAAAACGCAAACCCACCACTGTGGAGTGGATTCTGACTCATAGTGACCCTATAGGACAGAATAGAACTGACCCATAGAGTTTCCAAGGCTGTAATCTTTATGGAAACAGAATGCCACATCTTTCTTCTGTGAGCTGCTGGTGGATTGAAACAGCCAACTTTTTGGTTTGCACCCAAGTGCGTTAACCACTGTGCCATCAGGACTCCTACCCTCTTTCCCTTAGCTGCAACAAAATTCTATAGAGCCTGTATGCACACTATGTCCACTACCCTGTATATACTTACTACTTTTACTGAGCACATACTTTCCTTATGTATTGTCACACTTTCTTATCATCACCTCCATGCCACCCCCAACTATTAGGTGGTTATTCCCTTGTATATTTAAGAAAAAAAAATGAGGTTCAGTGAAGTTAAGAATCTGCGCATATGGAATGTTTGTAGGAGAACAGGAGATTCAATTCCCAGTCGCCAAAGCTTTCTCTCTTTTTTTGTGTCATTATGAAGTATCTTGCTAGAAGAATTCTTTTCCGCTGAAGATGAACTTATAAATTCTAGAGGCTTACATTAGCTTTCTCTTCAAAGTTTATACCATTATAATATTTGTGGCTGTGTACTTTGTGTTTCATCATTTAACATTCTAGTGTTTACTGAAAGTCTTAGGAAATACTGAGCTCGATGAGGGGAATTATGTAAGAAAATCCTAAACGCTTAGAGATTTTTTTTTTTTGCTCCACAGATTAAACATTGATGGTCATACTAAAGAAAACAGCTGTGCTTCCTTCTCAAAGGAAAAAATTTTTTCTGAAGACTGTCATTCAGAAAATGGATGGATCTGCCAAAAAGAACTAAAATCTGTCAGAGTGTGCCCTGACACTTGACAACGTTTACAAATCCCATCTGAACTTCTTTACTTTCCATTACAGATCTCTGAACTTTTAACTGATACTGCCTAATATATGTTTAGTGACACGAAACGAACAAATTCTGAGAATTCTAAAACTGTTATGGACCTTACATATGTTCGTATCCAACCTACTCATTCTAAAAAATGAGGACATGGAGACATGGAGAATACATTTGCCATTTTAAGAGACAGTGGTATTTGATGGAAAGAAGTTCAGACCAATTGAAGGGAACTGGATTCTTCTCCTGGCTTATATGTGTGACCTTCAGTGATCCCTTCTATGCCTTAGCTCATCTCGATAAAAGTTGTAGTAAATTATTTCTAAAGTCCTGTGCATCTCTCATAATCTATGAGATCGTCACATAACTGAGTGGTGGCGGAGCCTTGGTTAAAGCCCATTTCTTGACTCTAGACCAGGGGTCTGATAACTAAAGAGTTTGGAAAGGGACCTTAACTCTTCCCACCATACCAAAGCTCTTCGCACTGAATTTTCTCATTACTTCTTTTTCCTCTATGTCTCCTTCTTTCTCTGGCTCACACACAAGTAGTAGGTGATGTGTAATTAAATATTTCATTATCCTAATAGAAAACAAGGGATAGCTTCGAACTGCAGTTGGAGAAACTAAAGTTTTTTTTTTTTTTTTAAAGAAATGTTTGTTCTGAAATAGATTTCTTACAAGTCTACTTTTCAAAAAATGTCATTTTCTAATGGAAGACAAATACATTATAATCTTAGATTTACCCTATAAAGAGACTTAAAACAAAACTTCTGAAAAAAATAGATATTTAGTTACCCTGATAATTCAATGCCAAAGTGAATTATATAAATTTGAGTATTGTACTATAGTGACCAAGGTGCCCTGGTGGTGCAGCGGTAAAGAGCTATGCTGCTAATCAAAAGGTCGGCAGTCCAAATCAACCAGCTGCTCCTTGGAAATACTATGGGGCACTTCTACTCTGTCCTATAGGGTCACTATGAATCGGAATCAACTCAACGGCAACAGGTGTTTTACTATAATGACCAAAACAACTTCCTAATTTCCTGTGCCCCACAAATGAAAATTTATAATACTTTTCACCAATAAAATTTTAATTATATAAAAAAATCCAAAATATAATTAATTTTGTGCCAATTTCTTGGAAATATATTACTTAGAGAAGCATTTTAGACAAAAGCATCAATATAAAATAATATACAATAAAAATGAGATTTTTGAACTGTTTGACACTTTTTGGGAAGAAACCTATAGTGACACTAGTAGAACAGAAGTCTGAAGAAAATATTCCCATGATTAGCAATGTACGTTCCTCCCTCTTTGGAAAGATGTTCATAGCAACCTTCTAAAGCAACTCAGGGTAAATCTCTCTAAGCTCATCTAATTAGTTCAGAATTCATTGCAAACTTTGACGTTTTCCTCCTCTTATACTTGACATATCTGAAATCATGTGCCCTTAAAACATGCATCTATAAGAAACTTTTACAATGAAAGTAACCCAGAGAAGTTAGTTTATCTGTCACTGTCATTTGCAATTGCAATATCAGATAATTTGCTTAGATAACCAGATAATTTGTTTAAGTCTACTTACTGCTGGATATTGTACTGCTGACATCACCTCTGAAACTCAAACTATGAAGGTACGATTACATAAGGAAGGCATGACTGGCTAGATTCTATGCAGGTTAAAAAATACTAGGTTTAAGGAGGAAAAGTTTTAATAGGCTATTTACTAGAGAAATTTTAGATTCAGGAAAAATTGCACAAAAAGTAGAGTCCCTGTATACTCCTCCTCCTCCTTGCATAGTTTCTCCTATTATTAACATATTGTATTAGTGTGGTACTTTTGTTACAATTAATAAATCAATATTGATACATTATTATTAACTGAAGTCTATAGTTTACCTTAGGGTTCACTCTTTGTGTTGTATAACTTCATGAATTTTGGCAAATACATAATCTCACATACCTCCCATTATAGTATTGTGCAGAATAGTTTCATTGCCCTTAAAGTAAGTTTATGTTTAGCTTTGTAAAAAACTGTAAGACTGTCTTCCACAGTGGCTGTACCATTTTACATTCCCACCAGCAATGAAGAAGAGTTCCTTTTGCTCCACATCCTCGCTAGCATTTGGTGTTGTCAGTGTTTTGGATTTTAACCACCCTAAGAAGTCCAAAATGCACTGAAGGCATTGGTGAAAAAGAAAGCTTCAGGAATTGATGGAATATCAGTTGAGATGTTTCAACAAATGGAAGCAATGCTGGAAGCACTCACTTATCTATGCCAAGAAATTTGGAAGAGAGTTACCTGGTCAACCAGCTGGAAGAAATCCATACTTGTGCCCATTTCAAAGAACGGTGATCCAACCGAAAGTGGAAATTATTGAAAAATATTATTAATATCACAAGCAAGTAAAATTTTGCTGAAGATAATTCTAAAACAGTTGCAGCAGTACGTCAACAGGGAACTTCCAGAAATTCAAGCCGGATTCAGAAGAGGATGTAGAACCGGGGATATCATTGCTGATGTCAGATGGAGCCTGGCTGAAGGCAAAGAATACCAGAAAGATGTTATCTTAGTCATCTAGTGCTACTACAACAGAAATACCACAAGTGGATGGCTTTCACAAAGAGAAATTATTTCTTCACAGTAAAGTAGGCTAAAAGTCCAAATTCAGGGCATCAGCTCCAGAGGAAGGCTTTCTCTATCTGTCGGCCTTCTCATCAATGTTCCCCCGGACTAGGAGCTTCTCGGCGCAGGGAGCCTGGTCCAAAGGACATGCTCTACTCCCGGCACTGCTTTCTTGATGGTATGAGGTCCCCAGCTCTCTGCTTGCTTCCCTTTCGTTTTATCTCTTGGGAGATAAAAGGTGGTGCAGGCCACACCCCAAGGAAACGCCCTTTACATTGGATCAGGGATGTGACCTGGGTAAAGGAGGTGTTACCATCCCACCCTAATCCTCTTTAACATAAAATTACAATCACAAAATGGAGGCCAACCACACAATTCTGGGAATCACGGCCCAGCCAAATTGATACACACATTTTTTTGGGGGACATAATTCAAACCATGACAGATGTTTACCTGTGTTTTACTGACTATGCAAAGGCATTTGACTGTGTGGATCATAACAAATTATGGGTAACATTTCAAAGAATAGAAATTCCAGAACACTTAATTGTGCTCATGCAAAACCTGTACATAGACCAAGATGCAGTCCTTTGACAGAACAAGAGGATACTGCATGGATTAAAATCAGGAAATGCATCAGGGTTTTTTCTTTTCACCATACTTATTCAATATGTATGCCGAGCAAATAATTTGAGAAGCTGGACTATATGAAGAACGTGGCATGAGGATTGTAGGAAGACTCATTAATAACCTACGATATGCAGATGACATACCCTTGCTTGCTGAAAGCAAAGAAGACTTGAAGCACTTACTGATGAAGATCAAAGAATACACTGTCAGTATGGGTTACACCTCAAAATAATGAAAACAGAAATCCTCACAATTGGACCAATAAGCGACAACGTGATAAACAGAGAAAATGCTGAAGTTGTCAGGGATTTCATTTTACTTGGATCCACAATCAAAGCCCATGGAAGCAGCAGTCAAGAAATGAAATGATGTATTGCATTGGGCAAATCTGTTGCCAAAGATCTTTTTGAAGTGTTAAAAAGCAAAGATGTCGCTTTGAGGACTAAGGTACACCTGACCCAAGCCACGGTATTTTCAATTGACTCATATGCGTGTGAAAGCTGGACATTGAATAAGAAAGACAGAAGAAGAATCGATGCCTTTGAATTATGGTGTTGGCAAAGAATATGGAATATACCATGAACTGCCATAAGAAAGAACAAATCTGTCTTGGGAGAAGTACTGTGAGAATGCCCATTAGAAGCGAGGATGGTGAGACTTCTGAAGTACTTTGGATATGTTATCAGAAGGGACCAGTCCCTGGAGAAAGACATCATGCTTAGTAAAGTAGAGGGTCAGCGAAAAAGAGGAATACCCTCAATGAGATGGATTTACACAGTAGCTGCAACAATGTGCTCAAACATAGCAACGATTGTGAGGATAGCACAGGGCAGGGCAGTGTTTCCTTCTGTTGTACGTAGGGTCACTATGAGCCGGAACTGACTGGATGGCACCTAACAACAACAGTGTAGTTGCCATGAGTCAGACTTGCCTCCACAGAAACTGGTAATTGGTGTGTAGAATCCCTGTGTGCTGCAAACAGTTAACATGCTCAACTGCTAACGGAAAGGTTGGAGGTTTGAATCCACCCAGAGGTGCCTTGAAAGAAAGGACTGGTGATCTACTTCTGAAAAGTCAGCCACTGAAAACCCTATGGAGTACAATTCTATTCTGACTCACATGGAGTTGCCATGAGTTGGCGTTGACTCAAGGGCAACTGGTTTCATTAATATGTGTGTAGGGGTTTCTCACTGTTGCTGAACTTGCATGTATGATATTGAGCACATTTTAATATGTGCATTTGCCTTTTGTATATCTTCTTTGGTGAGGTGTCTGTTCAGATGTTTTGCCCATTTTGTAATGAGATTTTTTCCCCCTTATTTTGGGGTTTTAAGAGCTCTTTGTATATTTTGGATACAAGTCCTTAATCAGATGCGTTTTGCAAATATTTTCTCCCAGTCTGTGACTTTTCTTTTCATTCTCTTAACAAGGGAAAAATTTTGGTTACAGTATTTGAGTGAATATTTATGGACAATAAACTTCCTACAACTTCAAGCCATGCCAAAAGAGCTTCTTAGTAGGACATTCAAAGTCTGCCACCCACATTATGGGTGTTATCTTACACTCTGTGCTCCTGTGCAGTCCATGCTCCAGGACAATGACTCCTTACCATAGCAAACACATCTTAACCTTTTACGCCTTCATGGTTTAATGCATGTTGTCCCACAAGCCTGAGATTCTCTTATCACCTAATCTTTCATTCTTTACCTAGAAAAATCCTAGTAACTGTAGAAGATTTGATTCAAGTATTAAATTCTTTATGAATATTTCTCCACATTTCTCCTCATAATTTATAATCTATTTCTTTCCACTTTTCTGAAATATAATTTACTTCCTTTTTTGTTATTTTGTGGTTGTTTTTATGTCCACAAGGCTGATTGTGCTTCTCCCCTGGTTGGAGTTGGACAAGCACCAAGATAGGACAGTTAAAGAAAGAAAGGAGACAGTCACCTACTCATTTTAATATAGTAAGGTAAAAAGAAGTTAGTCTTGGCAGAATGATGGTCTGTTTGTTGTAGTAAAAGGACCCTGAGGCTGGATCAGTGAGTTTCCCTCTATTTCATGTCACATGCTTGGCTTTGAAGTCTATTTGCTTTTGTTTTACATTCCACCTACTCATTCCAGAGAATTCTTCAATATGCACGGTGTGGGTTAAAAAGTAGGTATAGTAAGAAAACACTTAGGGTGAAAAAATTATAAAAGAAAATGTTTTTCATGCACTAGCCTAGTTTTTTATTTTTTACAATTCATTGTCTCTAATCCACAAATATCTAAGCAGTCAGCAATCAGATGCTTCCCTCATAATACAGGTATAGGTAAACAAGAGTAGCTTTTGCCTCCTTTATCACACAGCTTAGGGAAAAAATACAAATACAGGGGAAAAAAAGATAATTCTGAAAAACAAAAAAACCACTCATAAAGTCATAAACCAACTAACTTATCCTGGTCTGGTGCGGGGAGCCTTTTGCGTACACCTTAGCAGCAATTCAAGTTTACTTCTGTAACTGTTTCTGATGAACTCTGTTCTGTCACATTTTGACCTTATTTGTTTTTTCTTTTGTGGCTGCTCTTGTTTCTCTCCAAGCAAAACAGGAAAAAAAAAAAATTCCCTATCAATCAGGACAGGTTTATCCAGAACCACCACCCCCATTTTTGCCCTTTGCAACACCTTGTTTATTTCCTTCATAATATATAAAAATAGATAAGCTATTTATTTATTTATTTGCTTATTATTATTATTGATGTTGTTGTTGTTACTTGCCTCTAACTGAGGCAATACGGGAGCCCTGGTGGCGGAGTGGGTAAGAGCTACGACGAGCTACCGCTCCTAACCAAAAGGGTCGGTATTTCCAATCCATCTACCAGCCCCACCTTGGAAACCATATGGGCCAGTTCTGCTCTGTCCTATAGGGTCGCTACGAGTCGGAATCGACTCGACGGCATCAGGTTTGGTTTTTATGGTGGCAATATGAGCTCCTTGAGAAGAAGGACTTTCTTAGTATTTGTTACAAATGCCTAGTTCTGGCACACAAGCAACAGTAACAACCATTGCCATCCAGTAGATGCGTAGTAATTCCTGAACAAATAAATAACTTATTACAAGTAATAAAGCAGGAAGGTAGAGTGATTTGTCCACACTGAGGAGCTGATCCATTAACACAGCTAGGACAGAAGTCTGATGTTCCCGGTATGATGCTAATTGTATTCTCTATCTCAACGCACCAGTCCTGGGTGACACAAATGGTTAACATACGCAGCTTCTTGATGCCTAGGAAGAAGGGCTTGGCAATTTACTTCTAAAAAATCAGCCACTGAAAACCCTATGGGACACACTTCTACTCTGACACACACGAGATCACCGTGAGTCAGAGTCAACTTGGTGGCAACTGATTTAGGTAGTTAATAAACCCATTTTTCAGAAGATGCTACGAGGAGTAAGAATGCATTTGTGAGAATGCATCATTAGGGAATTGCGAGTTGATACAACAATGAGATACTACTACACGCCTATTAACCAAACCAGTTGCCACTGATTCAGCTCTGACTCATGTTGGAGGGTTTTCAGTGGCTGATTTTTCAGAGGTAGATTGCCAGGTCTTTCTTCCCAGGCACCTCTGGGTGAACTACAGTAGCCAGCCTTTCAGTTAGCAGTTGAGCCCGTTAATCGTTTGTACCACCCAGTTATTCCTTATAATACTGTACACAGTGATACCAATGCATATATTCATTTATTCAATACAGATTTATTATGTGCCTGCTATGCATCAGGCACTAAAGAGATGTGAACAAGACAGGAAAAGTTCTTGCTGTCTTACACCTCCC